AATCATTTTCTTGTCCAAATTTAATGTTCTTAGGCTCGTTGGAATCATCTTAAGATCTAGTTAAATTTAAAATTAATTTCATTAGTTTTTTACCACTAGATTGTGAGAAATTTATTTTTTAATGAAAAAATGAACTTTCTTAATAACTCTCAATCTAGTGATCCAATTGAACTCAAATTTTGACATAGTATACTTGGGGATGTTCCTCACGTACCATAATTTTCTTGGCCCTAGACAATGTCTAGATTTTATCAAATTCGATTTCCAAAGTTCTGGGCCTAATTTTGACCCAAAACTTTGAAAATTCATTTCTCTTAAAATACATAGAATTAGGCATTTTTATGGCATATGTGTTTTGTTGTAAGGGTTAGAAACCTTTGATTTCAAACCTATGAGAATACTAGTGACACTTAAGAAAAAATAATTCAGGATTTTTCAAGAAAACTTAAAAAAATCCTAGGAAATTCTACGCACACCTAGTAAGGCTGAAACTTTAAACTTAGTGACATTATGAACCTTAGTTTTTAATTTTACTTAATTTAGACTTCATTGATTAATTTGGACCTTCATTGGGTTTTTTAAAAAAAAAATTATTCAAAAAATAAAAAATTAGCCCCTTATGTGCCCAATCAAATTGATACTAACAACTTATTGATATTATTTTTAAAATAACTTCAAAAATAATAATTCAAATTACTTAAAAATAAGCTTTAAAATTGATTTAATATTTAATTATCAAGTATTTAAGTATTTAATATTTAAATAGTTAGGAAAATTACTCAACATAATAATATTTTAATAATTTTTAAAAATAAAATAATAATAATAATAAAATCTTGATTTAATAAATTACTATAATTATTTATTAAAAGGATAAATAATTACTAAATAATATTATTATTTAAATAATACTATATCTTAATACATTAATAATTATTCAAAAAATAATTAAATCAAATTAAATTTAAATATTAACTAAGAAACATATATCATAATATATTATTAAAGTAATGCTTAAAAAAATAAATTTTTCAAAATTTCATTAAATATTATCATTTTATACTTAATTATTAATAAATAATAATGAATATATTAAATACATTAAAACAAGTTTTAAAATAACTTATATTTTAAGAAAAATAATAATTTTAAATCAAGAGGTTTGAAAAATTAATCACCGACGATCGCAATTGTAATTATTTAGCATTTGGGTCTTTAAAATAATTTAAAATTAATTTTTCCAAGAGAAAATTTGAATTAAAAGAATTTTCTTAAAAAATAATTTAAAACGATTTAATTAAAATGCGTGGCGCGCGGTTCAGGACCTTGGTCGGCCTCGTATTGGGCAGCTCAAATCTGTGTGTGTAATCTTTTCATATGTGGCCGACCAGCGCATCAGTTAACAATGATTTTGCACAGTTTGGAAATCAACGCCCGCACCTTAAACACGTAGAGCGCGGGAGCGCCGGACCATTAATTCATATGTTGTGGAAAGGACGATAGAGATATAGTCGGACAGAAAGAAAAACTATGGACTCATTTCCAAGGTTCAAAAGAGACCGCGGAATGACAGTATCTCCACTGTTGATCAAAAATTCAACAACGGAGATCTTGTACACCCGAGCCTAGGGCGAAATTGAAGCCCTAATAAGTTTTTTTGACTCGTTCTTTCGAACGGCTTAACCAAATGTGATAAAATTTTAAACTTAGGTAATATATGTGAATAACATTTATGGAGGACCAAAATCACAGCCTAAAATGCGTTATATACAAAGTTAATTAGCTCTAAGTGTAGTGTCCTAGGTTAAGGGTTTTTCAGAGATCTAACCATTGGATCTTTGGGATTTAAGTTTGGTTGAGCTTGTAGATTATCCTCGTACAAATCTTTAGTTGAAATCGCAATCAAATGAGCTACGGATTGTTGAGAAATTGCCTTGGAAGATATCATGTCTCGATTGGCCAGAAATCTCACCACTAGCAGGGTATTGACAATGGGTTTGGCTTGGGAAAGGTGGAAGGGATGTAAGGGAGTTCTCTCACAAAGTCTCACAGGCTATGGAGGCTTGGAGAGAGAGAGAGAGAGAAAGAGCAAAAAGGTCCTTCTAAAGAACCTTAATTTCCCTATTTATAGGTCTAAGCCTTGAACGGCCAAGATATATTCTAGGGTGAATTAAGAGGGATATTGAGTTGATTTGGTCGGGATTTGACTCTAAGGATCAAAAGGAAATAATTCAAGGCACTTAATGGGTCTAAATTTGACTTAAATAGGTCAAATTGACCAAAGAGAGACTTAGGCTGACCAAGTCAAGGGTTGACTTGGTCAACCTAGTCAAAAGGGTCCAAGGTTGTGGGTTGAGTCCAATAATAGGGCTTGGATCGGAATAAAATCAATTTGGGCTCAAATAAGCTAAGTGGGTCAACCTGGGTTGACCTAGGGCACAGGACTGGGCCAAATGGGTTGGGTCTGACCCACTAAGTCCAGGCGAGGAGAGAATTGAGCCTGAGAAGGTTTGAATTGATTTGAAATTAGGTCAACTTGGGTCAACCCAGGTTGACCCAGGGCCTAGGATTGGGCTTAACAGACTTGGTTTGACCCACTAAATGGAATGAGAGGGGTCTTGGGGCTTTGCCTGGTCAATTTGACCAGGTCAACCCCTTTGACCGATGGTTTAAGTGAAAAATGAGGTCAACATAATTAATTATGAAGGCTTGCCTTCGTAAGAGATTTAAGACCCCTAAAACTATCAAACTCCATTCTATTTTGCTCCTAAAAAGAATTGAAAAAAGAAATTATTCTCTTTGGGATGTTGGTGGAATTTTGAAAACATGTTTTGAAAATATTGGTTTTCTTTGGGAGTTAAAGTTAAATTCTAATTCTAAAATCGAATCATCCCGTTAGAAAGAATATATCACCTTGAAAGATGAAAATAAAATTTCATAACAGCGTTCAGATTTAGAATTATGAAATTTATCTTGAATATTATGACTGGATGCTAAAGGGAACTTCATATGGCCCTGAAGGGTCAAAATGAGATTCAACTGAATATCCAGCTATAATACTCAAAAAGTGTGATCGTTAGGTTCACATCTAAAGCCTTATCAAAGAAAGATGTATCTCCCCAAAGGGAGATAACGTCATTCAATGATAATTCTTTGAATGTGATAATAATAATCATCTTTTGATTTTTTCCAAAGGAATCCAATATGAAATTTGAAAAATCAATTTTTGAAATCAGGTGAATGTGTGGTTCTAAATCTCCTACGAGCGCAAGCCCTCGTAGTTAATTACATCGTAGGGAGACAAAGTTCTATACGAAAACTCTCGATTAAAATAGTGGCAAAATTTTGTTAGATTTTCTAGGAGTGATATCAAAATTGGATGAAATTTGGAAAATCAAAAGGGAACGGATCAAGGTTGAGCAGTTATTAACGGAGTTAAGGGAAGAGAGGTAGGGGACACTTTGAGATTTCAGAACCATCCAGAAGTGCCCCAACATATTCTAAGTGTTAGGCTTTATGTTTTAGGATCAAAATGAAGCTTTAATTAGAGTTGAGTATTTTATTAGAAATTTGGGATTATATTCCCGAAATTTGGGGTCTTATAATCAAAGATCTGCCCCGGATCCTAAATCTATTTTGGACACTGGACCATAGTCGTCCGATCCTAACTAATGCAGTGCAGGATGTGGACTTATCCCGGCCTGGATTGGGGAGCCAGCTAACCACCTAATCGATTTAAAAAAGATGAGTACGGCCTTTTATGAAAGAGTGGTAGGGACGTTGTATTTAAGGTTTTGGAGAGTTGGGGCCGACATCTAGAGATTTTCCTAATTTGCCCCTTTGACTTATGTTGGTTGCAAAATGCTAAGGACTAATGCAGTTAAAGTTTTGACTTTTTAAGTATATTTCTAATGCAATGCGTGCTGGTTGACAACTTTAAATCAAATATGCTTGAAATTTTAAAAAATAAGCTTAAAAAATAATTTTTTAGAAGACTGGACTTCCCCAGGTCCAGTACCTCGTCCTCATAGGTCAGACTATCCGGACTCTACCCGCAGGCGGGGAAGGGTCTAAAGCAAGGAAAGAGTAATGCAGAAATATGCATGCGACCCCGGGTCGATCCCCGGCCAATTCCCTAGATTTGTTATCTTTCTATGTTATTTAAACTCACTAAGATTTTAGACTTTTAAAGTTATGAGTATAAAACTTTCACACCCTTACGAGCCTCACATATCCAGGCGAAAACAAAAGCGGCACACAATCGCCAAAAAAACTAAGAAAAACAAGCAGTCTTAAAGGCAATCAATTCATCACATCAAATATAAATTAATTAATCAATAAATGTCCATAGGCAAAGTTGTCTTGCTTATTACAAACCAGTATTTTATAGAAAGTAAAGCTAGACACCACTGACAACAACCCGGATTCTAAACCTAATAATGACGCAAGTCATTTTGAGTGGGATACTCAGTCTTCAAATCTTCAGTCTTATTCTCCTTTAGGCTTCTTTTCTTCAAGCTCCTTGGATTCTTTGTAGTAGACTACCCAAATGGATAAGAGGACACTTCCTTTGAGGGGAAGGCCACTCTTTTCCCTTTGGGTAGGGAAGAAGTGTGGCCCAAATTTGGATCTCCAAAAAGAAAAGGAGTGTTCCCCTAAGGGGCATCCTTTTCTCTTCGGAGTCCAAGCTTTGGACCTATATATCCCAACTCAAAACTAACTTTCACAACACTTAATAATTACACAAATTACATTTACTTGAAAATAAAATCTAGACTCACCTGCTGGGTTATCCTAAGCAGTTAATAAATAAGAAGCAGTTA